GCAATTGCGATGCATTCCAACTCCGTGAAAACGGCGTCTCCAGCGAAATAAAGGTCGCAGGGTCTTTAGAACCCCCATCGTTTTCTGAAAAATAGAAAATAGATACTGATTGGCCTTCAAGTTATAGAGAGAGTTGGCCCCATAAAATGGACACTTGCTCAAATGCAATAACCTGTGAATCGGTAAATTATAAGTAGAAAGGTTGAAATTTTGAAAACTACTAAAATTTACTAAAATTTCCAATTTTTATACTATTTTATAGTATGTCCACTACATTGTGACCTTCTTGTCGGAACTAATTAAAAAATTTGGAGGAAAAATATGGAGAAAACTCGTGAGGGGTAAGAAAAACAAAGTCTTTGTTGAACCTTACCTAGCCAGTAGGCGTCGAAATTTCTATTCCGATCTACGCCACGGCATCCATTTATTGCCGTTGCGGAAGTGTTTGATCGCGTCTTCCTCCAAAATCTGTCCTACTTAGGAATAATAATGGAATTAGATATTTGTTGTGAACTGTGGCCGCGTTGGGTTACCGCCGCGTCTCCCCACGCCGCGTCTCCCACATTGGTTGGCGAATCTCCCAACCAATGTGGGAGATTCTTTGACATGAACAAAGGTCTCATCCGCGGCCAATGCAGTACAGGGTTAGCAAATAGGGGGGGGGGAATCCAGTATTTTTTGTTTTAAGCGCATAAAGTTGAACTAATTTGAAGTAAATTTGTTTGAACCAATCAAGATTAAGCGAGTTAAGTAATGTGAAAGGTAATTGATAGTCTACGAGTCGGAAATTGCGTTTGCGAGATTAGACCATTTTAAGAGATTATGCGCTTTAACTAAAAAAACTAAATAGGTCTCCCTTGACATTCATTTGAATTTATACGGTTAAATGAGAGAAAACGAATCCATCCGGGTTAGCCATGGGTAAAATGTGAAAATTAAAATCGTCCAAATAAGCTTGAATCTCAATATCTGGGCTATTCAGGAGTTGATCGATCAAATAGAGCCCGACCGCGGATGAAATCCATTCTCGGGCATGCTAAAATAAGATTCCATTTGAAGAAATAATTAGCTTAAAAATGGCGGTAATAATATTCTTACAATATTAGAATCAATCCATATAATTGGTTTCGTGGTGCTCCATTGTTAATTTTGAGGAGAAATAAGTCCCTTCCCTCGAACGATTTTCCGATCGTTGTGAGGGTCACGAGGTCAGGATGTCCGACACTTTGAACGGTCAGGTATTGGTTGATCTATTTAAAAAAGAATTAGCGGGAAAATAGTTGGTGAGATTTGAATGAATAGATAAATATGTAAGTTTTTTAACCGAGTCCAAATCGTAGTATGCGTCCCAACTGATATATCTCCATTCTTCTAGTCCTGACTTTTGAGAACGGATTGACCTATTTTTTAAAGTATTTATGAGGCAAGGAATAATTGTTCTTGATAAAATTGTACGATTTGGTTAGGTATACAAATTTGTCTGCCTTCAATAAATTATTTGAAAAAATAATATGGATTGGTTGCAGAAAACTTGAGAGTATTTCGAGGGTAGGATTTCCAGGGAATGTAGGAAATTTAAGACGAGGGTTGCGGGGGAATAAAAATGAGGGAAAAATCTGGGGAAATCTCAAACAATTTTCTGGAATTAGAAAATGATGATTAGAAATATTAGAATTAGAAATGAAATTAGAAATTAGAAATTAGAAAATTAGAAATTAGAAAAATTAGAAAATAATATTAGAAAATGAATCCCATTTTAAAAGCGGCCTTACCTTCCTACATCAGGATTAGTTAGAAGATGCTCAGTTTCGAATTTTTTCAAAGATTCCAACACAAAATCCAACACTTGTGGGAAGCAATTACATGGGAATGATCCCCAACAAGAGGATCACCTCCAATAAATGATACCTTAAAAGTAAAAATAGGACATAATTGATTAATAATTATTTTGATTTGAAATTATACTTTTATTATATTCTAAAAGGTCAAAAAAAAGAAAATTGATTATGGACACATAGAAAAGCGGCAATGTTTAGTCTTTTGGAAAATTTGACACCATTTTTGTATAGATACGTTCTTCATTGTATGTAAATATTCCGGTAATAAGACAATTACAAGGCGATGACTCAATGCGTTACGAAGGCACTTATACTGTCTCCGCATGGTAATAGTGTTATTACCAAATTATTTAGATGCCCATACCCCTTGGTGTTTACCCAGGTCCCTTAAATGATCTCTTCTTGTCGCTTGGTCTGTGGTGTACTCTAAGCATGCTGTGCCCATCGTACATGGCACTAGTGGTGAGCCCGATTAAGGTGGAAATAAAACCCACAGTTAGTCCAACTATTGGTAACATAGTTGTTGCGAAGGATAATTAAACCTTGAAATTATTTTTGTACGCGATTCTCTCCTCTAATCGACCGGATCGGAGGACCTGGAAAAGGTAACTAAACTTACTCAGTATAACGTGTGAAATGTCAGTTATCAGATTTATTTTATCACATTTGCTTGATTATAATGATTAATCAGAAACAGCTCAGTGACTCGATACTGACTAGTTGAATAATGGTGAATTTATGGTGGAGTGCCCATACATACGAACTGAAGAGGGATATGAGGAATTTCTTGTAATTGATGGCAAAAGGTAAAATTTTTTGGGAATCTAGTATGACCAAATTTACGCAGAGACCCTCGACCCATGGAATATTTCGTTAATCTTTATCGGAACGTTTAAATATTTATTGTGTGATAACTTTGGCTATGCACAATCAAGGCAAATCTCTGTTCTGCTGGGATGGGAATGTTAAAGTGAGGATTTAGTTAAGGATTATCACAAATCCAGAGATAGGGTCGTTTCTATCTGCTCTCATTAATTAATCTTTTACGTAATATTACGTAAGCTGAACTCCTATCGCAAATATTTTGATTGTTGGGTTGGGATACCTGTGAATCGTCAGCATTATTTTTACATTCGTGGAACACGATAATGATATCGGCGGAATCAAGAAATTTCTGGATTCTCCCCATTAAATGTTGAGGATTTGAAGAGTGTAATTATGATGATCTCGCACTATTTTGACAGTTGTTGTGCCCTTTTAAATCCTATGAATATGGAGTAGAATACGACGTTTTGCACGCACATTGTAGACGATGTTGTCTTAAATATCAAAAAATGTGGTTCTAAACACTAATTGGCGATAAGTTTACGAAGGTTCAAAACCGTGTTTGTGGTCTAAGCTCAACTGCAATTGCGTAGTAAGGCCCCACACTGGAGCGTCCCTTGGTAGGTTTTGGCATAAATTCCCTGGGTACTTTTTCTGGAATATTTTTTCATATTTGAGTATTTGGGCAACAAATTACGTGCACTGTAAAAAATATTTAGTGACCACACCCCCTGGGGGGTTGACCACACCCCCTCAGGGGGTGTGGCGCTGAAACTTATTCCAATCGATAGATCTTTGAAAAATAATCCGATTTGGTATATGATACTGACCTGTAGGTCACTCAGGTCTCAAGTTATCGGCGTCCAAAGTTCGAAATTTTGTGTTTTGCGCGCACTTTGCGACTCTGTGGCGCATTCCGCGACAACATTTTAGCGTACTAAGATATGCTATTCCATGCAGCCTACCATTGGGTATAGTCCCAAGAAAAAAAATCCATCCGGACACGCCTAGTTTTGTCGCAGGAATTTTTTGAAAAACGTCAAAAAAAACCGAAATTTGCACACTAAAAAATAATTAAAAAGTAAATTTGGCTTAAACATGAACAAATATTTTCCCATTTGTTTTCCAATTGCCATTATTAAAGAAATTACTTTTTATTCATTTTGTTCATTATAATTTCAAACTTTGTTAAAAATTAATTTATTATATATGTACTCCGCAAATTTCAACAAAAATTTTTAATTTCATAAATTTCATTTTTATTAAATTTAATAAAAAGAAATTTCTTATGGCAATTGGAAAACAAATGGGAAAATATTTGCTCATGTTTAAGTCAAATTTACTTTTTCATTATTTTTTAGTGTGGCAAATTTCGGTTTTTTTTGACGTTTTTCAAAAAATTCCTGCGACAAAACTAGGCGTGTCCGGATGGATTTTTTTTCTTGGGACTATACCCAATGGTAGGCTGCATGGAATAGCATATATAAGTACGCTAAAATGTTGTCGCAAAATGCGCCACAGAGTCACAAACTGCGCGCAAAACGCAAAATTTCGAACTTTGGACGCCGATAACTTGAGACCTGAGTGACCTACAGGTCAGTATCATATACCAAATCGGATTAGTTTTCAAAGATCTATCGATTGGAATAAGTTTCAGCGCCACACCCCCGGAGGGGGTGTGGTCAACCCCCCAGGGGGTGTGGTCAACCCCCCAGGGGGTGTGGTCACTAAATATTTGTTACAGTGCACGTATTTGTTGCCCAAATACTCAAATATGAAAAAATATTCCAGAAAAAGTACCCAGGGAATTTATGCCAAAACCTACCAAGGGACGTTCCAGTGTGGGCCCCCGCAACCATTCACTGCAAGCTATACTTACGAAATTATCAATTAGCGATATAAAATTTTGTAAATTATTTTTAAGGTAGTATCTCAACGAATAGATAAGTATTTACATCCAAATAAATTTATGTACTCCTTCTACTTCAAACAAATGTTTTATTGTAAAATATTTAATAATCTGTGTTGGACTCGGTTACGCATGTGGACATCAATCTGATCTCATTCTGTCAAAGAATTGGTGGACACTTATGTTCAATTGGCAGGCAAAGGTGATTAATTTGATCAATGCTAAGTAGGATACATACACGGAATATCACGGCCCATGCCAGGAGACCTCAAACTCGCTGACGTTGGGGATGCTGCTCCTATTGCTGTCAAGCCATACCCACGTAGTTTTGCAGAACAACAATTTATTAATGAACAGGTGCAACTTCTTCTCGACAAAAAAATTATTCGCAAGAGCTCAAGTCCTTGGGCTTCTCAGGTCGTATTGGTTCGCAAACCAGATAATTCCTGGCGATTCTGCGTCGCATATATGAAGATTAATGCCATTGCCAAATCTGATCCTTTCCCTATGTCTTGCATGCAGGATCTCTTCCAAACTTTACATGGTGCAAAATGGTTTTCTACGGCAGATATTCGAGATGGATTTTTTTATATTCCGCTCCCCGAATCTGAGAAGAAATATACATCATTTGTGACAAACGAGGGGCAATTTGAGTTTGAATTTGTTCCGATGCGAGCTAAAAATAGTCCTCCCCTGTTTTTACGTGTTCTAAATTACGTTTTCAAGGACATGGCCTTTGGTAAATTACGCCACCTTTTCATTTACGTCGATGATCTTTTTTGTTATTCGGGAACTTTTGAGGAGCACCTAATCCACCTGATAAAAATTCTGCTCCGTCTCCGTCGCACCAACCTTGCTCTCAAACCCCAAATCATTCTTCGGCTATCAGCGCGTCAAAACTCTGGGGTACATTATTACCCCCGAGGGATTCCTCCCCGACCCTTCCAAACTTTCTTCCATTGAAAACTTTCTCCGTCCCACAAAACCCAAATCATTGCGTTCATTTATTGGTCTATGCTCCTTCTACCGACGTTGGATCCCGGCTTTCTCCGACGTTTGCCGTCCCCTTCATGCCATTTCGGGTACTAATATGCCTTTTGTTTGGACGGAAGATTGTCAGAAAAGTTTCACTCCGCCATCTTCTCACCACCGCTCCCGTGTTGGCCCCCTTCACCTACATGCACCCATTGAGTTGATGACATATCAATTATAAGTCTATCGTTAATCTTATAATATATTCATAAAACTGATCGCTTTAATATAGAATTCATATTCATTTTAAATGTTTATAAAAGTTTATAAAATAAACTTATAAACTAACCCTAAACTAAACTACTGCCTTATCTGCCCATGTGTCCAAAATTGATTTTAATGGGGTTGCAAGCTGCATGTAGAATAATCAAAAATTAAAATAATATTTACGTAATTATTAAAGAGAGTAATAAGAGTGTACATTAAAAAATGAAATTAGAAGTTCTTTGGCGTCGCCAATATTTGATCGACTTCCTCGCCCTTGTCCCTATGCAGCAGGTGGAATAAGATGCAATAGCATGAACAGGGCGGAAATGTGCGTATCCCAATTGTCTAGAATTTAAACATTATATAGTCACTTATTTTTAGTTCACTCACACCACAATCCACTCATACAAATCTTACATGACTCTTCCAAAAAAAATTTCTTCAAGGCTGGAGATTTGTTGATTTCTGGTCCCCTTTGCAAGATTTTGTGGGCAGCAGATGGCCAGATGTCAAGAAAATTGTTGACAGAAGATTCGTGTATCAGTGAGAACTCAAAATTAATCTGCCAATCATTATATAAAAATAATAAGAATGTTTAAAAAGAATAATGTCAAACCAATGTCCAATTATCCGACTAAATATTTGCTTACCAGATAGTTACAATCTGTAAATTTATTGTAGGTGTTGAGGATGTTAAGCTGGTTCGACAGCGTTAAAGCTGAACGGTGTGGCAGCGTCTCCGTCATCCATTGTTTAATTTCATTTTCGGCTGTCTTCGGACAAAGGCCAGACAGCTTTTGAATTAAAACAAGATACTCTGCCGAATTTTCTGTTACATCCGATCCAACGGCTGCACGTTTTGGCGACGAATCGTCCGTCTTGGGTGTTCCTCGCTTTCTTTGTACTTTTGGCTTATCTTTATTTAGGGATTTGTGAACATGTCGCAGTCTGGCTTGAATCAGGCCACCTCGTCCAAGTTGGTCGAACAAAATATCCTACATTAATTATTTAAATAATTAATTAAAATTAATTAAAAATATAATAACTATTAAAATATATATTTATATCTGACCGTCCCGTCCTTACTACCCGGATAGCGCCACGGAGGAATAACAAGTAGAATTGCTTTCGCAAATATCTTTTGTTCCTTGGATGTTGGCGAAATCATAACACGATTTCCAAATGTTGACTGATTCCAAAAAAAGTACAACTTAATGAATTAAATTAATGACCTACCCCTTTAGCTCAATCAGCTTGGCGACGAGATCTTTGATGAGAATGGATGAATTCTCTGCAGTTACACATCCTTGTTGAATGGAATCCTCGACTAACCGCTCCAGTTTATTATCGTGCTGAATTGTAGTCTCAATTATCTGGAAACAATGAACGTTAGCAATTTAGGATCATCACAACATGCCTTGTATTAATATAGGACATGATTATAATAATGGAACAAATATAAGCACACATAAAGTTGGTTCACCTGTTTAAAATTATTTATCTAGATTTCTTCAAAATTGTAGGACGGATATATTTCAGCCGCAACAAGGGGAAGTGCATTGTTACCTGCAAGAATAAATTATTGAATCCCAAATAAATAACACTGCACCAGTACGACGAGGTGTTGAAATATTTACTTACTATGAATAACATGTAATTCTTCCCCAAAGATTTTCAATGTGGGGGTAGGTGTTTTTTTGAATTAAATATGGATAAATTTCTTGTCGACCTCAGCCCCATGGTCATCTTCGAATGAAATTTGTGTATCAAGGTCAATGGAAAACTTTTCTTTTACTGTGAACAAATAATTAATTCTAATTAATTCTAATTTATTTAAAGATAACTCAAAGACTAATATTATTATAAGTTATGTACCTTCGGTGGAAAATACTTCATAATTTAGATCCCCAATAACTAATTTCTTTCCTCTTAAGGGATGGAAAACTCTAACAATTATAATATTTTCCATTGTGAAATAGTAGAAGGTGGAGGAAACGTGAGCAACTCAAAGTAACCGCCGCTAAAAGTTGGCTTGGGGTCGGTGGAAAATATTTCTCAAAGAGATAAATTGCCAACTGCTGGAAATAATTATGGAGACGATTTATTTCCACTAAGGAAATAACTTATCTCTAGTAGGGATACAATGTCTGTCACCTTGGATGTTGACAATTTTGGTGATAAATTTGCCTCCTAATGGGAGTCAATGGTTATTTCTATGCCACGGAAATAAAAATAGTAATAATTTTATCCTAGAATTATTGAGAGTGTATGCAACGACTCATTACAAGGAGTCACTATTTTTACATGAGCGGGAACACCATATTTTTATGATCGTTTCGTATCCAAACGTACATACATATATATTTATGTATGTAGGTACACTATTGTTATAAAAAACAACAATCTTAGCTTAGCCAACCCATTTCACAAACAAAGAAGTAATTAGTTTACTTATTTTCAGGGTTGTTAAAACTTAATCGGAAACACGATAAATAAATAAATGTCTATTTTACCACATATTTTTAAAAATTTCGCCCACCGTAAACTGGACTCATTAAGAAGTTCAAAAACAGGTGTCCAAATATTTGAATGTACATATCCATAGATCTCTACATGCATAAATTAATGGGTCCATAATTTACAGCATGGAAGTTAATATGTACATCTGAACATTTTTATTATAAAGGAACTCTTTATATCTGGTAGTTAAGTTCAAATCTGTCTTTGAATTTATAAGCTAAGTAAATATCTGTGTACATATTTATTATGTATGCACAAGACATTTACATTGCATACCTAGGATTAGTTCAGTTCATGTGTATGGATTTACATATCTTCAATTTGTAATATTTACGCCTTGACCATGTTGTTTCTTTATATTTTTCTAAATATTAAATATTTATTTACAGATACGTTCGTACGTTTATGCTTTTATGTATTTCTGAAAAATAAAACTAACTTTACATAGAATGTCACCTTTCATGGTTATTTATACACGCTTTGTCCAACCAATAACCCTTTCCCTAAAATAAACCAATAACCCTTTCCCTAAAATAAACCAATAACCCTTTCCCTAAAATAAACCAATAACCCTTTCCCTAAAATAAACCAATAACCCTTTCCCTAAAATAAACCAAGCAACCCTTTTCTCCTACCCATTAAATAAGAATGTCTCCAGCTCAATATAAAATGTATCATTGCCAACCTCGCCATCTCCACAGTGTGCTCTTCTTCTTGAAAAAAATTTAATTACATAGAACATTACCGACTGACACGTAGTGTTAACGGCTATGGCGTCGCACCCACTGAACCATGTGAAGCGAGAAGTAGAGTCCAGCCCCACAACCACTGCAACCATGTTGGAAGTTGCCGTTGTGAAAGTGGAAACAAAGGTGATGAGATAAATATTAAAACATTAGAAATAATTATTTAATTTCCTCCTGCCATTAAAAAGGATAGTTAGGAGCGCGCAAAACCATGTTCATCCCAGATCTTTTTGTGACATCAATACATATTGATGCAGTTTGATTCACTAACTCTTGGTAAACAAAGCTTAGTTCGGCACTTTGGCTAAGGTACAAAAATTACAAAAATTCTTGTTTTCTCAAGTTGATGCCTGCGAAATCTAAAATCAATTTTCCTCACTTCGCACAGCCCAAAAGTCGCTGAATTTTTACGCGCATTTGCCCAAATTACGACCCAACCGTTGTTTATGACCCGTTGGTCTAGCAAGCTGTAGAAGTCAAGTCACAAAAAGTGCTGGGGTGAACCTGGTATGCACTTTGCGAAGGAATTGCATGTACACTGAAAACAAAATGGTACCGATCAATTCCGCCCGGTGTCACTATATGACTTAATCGCCTTGATTATAGTTAATTCCAAGGGGTGATAAGTTTGATACCGACTGTTTTAATGTTGTAACTGGACTTTAAAATTTCCTAACTACTCGGAATCAATTTTGTAACCAAGGCGGTTAAGTTATATAGTGAAAACTGGCCGAGTTGATCGGTACTATTTTGTTTTCAGTGTATACATGTATGTACACCCTAAATAAATTTTTAACAAATCGTTAACTTGGGGAGTCATTATGTGACTCTATCGCGCTAGTAAAGATTTACTACCGGGTAATAGTAACAATCGCTTAAAAAAGATTCAAACTTACTACCAAATATTAGTTAATTTCTCACCGCAAGGTTTCAAATTTTAGGGTTTCGAAAAATTTTGTAAAATTTACGATTTGGAAAAAAATAACTGCTGTTAGATTTATATTTTTTAGCAAAATAAGATTCGCATAAATTTGCTTTTAAGTAGTTAAATTGATGTGAATGGTGTTCGTCCGCATTTTGTGTTATAAAATTACTTAAAACTCTGAATATTTTTCATTAGTTAGTTGATTCAGAGTGCTTGCCTGAGTTCTGTAATGGGACGAGGTTAAGCATTATGATGGATCCGAAGGGCTTGGACGGGTAACCGCTCGGGTTCGGGAAAGGCTAGTGAATCCTGCTCGGCTCGGTGTTAGTACGGGGTGGGTGCTCCTCTCAATGGTCGGGTGAGCCCGGTCAGACGGACTGACAATGCCAGAGAGTGGAGCCCACACAGAGTCCGTTCTCTGTGCTGAAGATACGACTCACCGCCAGACATAGACCGTCATGGTTTGCAAACCAGAATGTTCATTCTGATATCCGTTCACGTTAAAGGTTGATTTTCATTTTCATTAATTACGGTAAAGGGTCCCTAACATTTCCCAACTCCCACCCTTAAAAATTTGTAATTACGCTACTTGTCAAAGATTAATGGTTATAAATACATGTGCAGAAACACATGTACATATTTATGTACGTAGGCATGCATATAACACGCCAGATTTATGTACGTATGTACATATGCAGTACATAATAAACCGTTGCAAACGAAATGTAGCAAAATGGTGAAACCTTGTGTCTGTCCGCTCTTCCAGCCCATTTTCTAACAACTTCGACATTTTCGACCTTTGATTTCATCTACACAGTCGCCATGTAGACATACGTCGAAACGGAGGTCATTTCTGAAATCCCCGTTCCAAAGTACGTCGAAAACGGTGGAGACAAAAATTTAGACATGTTGACATACGTCGAAAGGGAGGTCCTTTCAGAAATATTCGTCCCAAAATACGTCTAAAACGGTCAAAACTAAAAATCTGACATGAATACCACAAAAATTCTACATCATGACGCCATGACCTTATGACCTACAACGCCCATCGTCGAACCTAACCTCCCCCCAAAAATAGATACTCATTAGTGAAGTCCGCATGCTTAAATTCGAATTCATTCGAAAGTTATCGTGCAGACAGGGAGACGGACGGACAGACAGAGTGCATCCATAAAACAGATCCACCCTTGTCATGATTGGTCCAATTATTGACCTGAAAAACCTGAATATTTTTGTATGCACGCATGTATGTACATATTTATGTAATTAAAAATAGACCTGGATGAGTTTACTGTTGATACATGGGGATGCATATGTACTTACATACATATGTATATATGCGTACACTTACATGTTAGTTATCTAAAAAATCAACCTTTTAAACCAAACTTTACGGGGTGCATGTGTATTTATGCTGAACAGAAATAAGTCATTGCCAGTATAAAAAACTTAAGTCCCCGTAGAATTTCATTCTCTCACAAAATTTTGAATGGTTGATAATTTAACTGGTTAAGAATCCGCTATCTATTTCCAACTGTCTGTCACTGCACAAGGCAATATAATGAATGATTTTGTAAGTACTCTGATCTCTAAAAAAATCAATGGTTTTATTTATTTATTAGTCTTTCAACGGTTTTTATACTTATGATTTCAAAATTTCTTGAAATTATTTTCAGGTAGGATGCGCATCTGCAACGACACCTCCCCCTCATCCTACACCTGGCGGCAGTACGAATCCTCAGCCTCCCGCTGGAATGAGCACGTCAACCGCACCGACAAGTGGGGGAGTGCAGGCCCGACCGGCAGATTCCAATGGGGAGATCGAGTTGACCTTCGCCATGGTGGCGTTCTCCGATCAATCAGACACGCTGTTCTTTCATCCGAAAGGACGTCGACTCTTCCTAGGATTTCAAACGCTACCGAATGCACAAGTGTGGCTGCGTCACGAGGGCGACACAATCCCCCGAGGCAGAGGGGTGTACCTTCATGGACGAATGTCAATCACGTCCATTGATGAGAATACAGAAGATGAACCATTCACAATTTTCTTACGTGTGAAAAATAGTCGTCGGTCTAAGAAGGAGTTTTTATTCCAATTTGAAACCCACGAACTTGCCAAACGGGCTCTTAACCTCTTTAAAAAGCTCCGTGCACAAGACCCGCGGTCTGCCGACAATTAGATAAGTTTACGTTGCCCGTCGGGATGAAATACTTCAAAGTTCGGCTTTTGGATTAAATAAATACGTAAACTAATATTAATTATTTGTTCCATTTGAATCAGAATTTCGGGTTAATTAAGTGAATACAATTGTGTAAGCATGTGTATCGTAGAAAATTATTTTTCAAATTATTAGTTCAAATTGGGTGTGATGAATAAATTATTTTTGGAATATACAAAAAGTCTTAAGTCGTGTATATATATACATATGTATGTATTTACATAAATAATAGCATAGATAGATGGAGGATGAGAAGCCAATGCTACATAATTCGTACCATGTTACGTTAGAATAAATTAAATTATCAAATAATTATAAAATTATTTACTCGCGAATGCAGCGAAATGAAATGAATTCCTGGGCAGAAGGAGAAAACGCGAAGGAGGGAATATCATTTAAACTCATCGTCAGTCAGCTCCCCGAGGAAATCGGATTTACAGCCAGAGAGTGAAGAGAGAAAGCAGTAAAAAATAGTAAATATTTCCCCCTTGTTCACCACATCCGAACCAAATCCCACTGCAGAAAAAACACCGAAACCACAAACTAACTACTCTCCACGTCTCGAAGCAGAATATTTATGGGTCCCAAAAGAATGCCCCCTCTTCTCCCGCCACAACTGCAAATGTGGAAGTGTCCCCTCCTACAAAGACCTCCGACCCAAGAAGAACTTATCCGCCACAACACCACGAGGGATAAGGTCATCTCCGTCATGAATTGCATCCATTGGGAGGGCCATGACCCCCACCACCACCAGCAGGACTTTAAGGGTTTGCCTTATCCAGAAACCCGCTCCACTTACGACGAGAGGATGGAGTAGGTGAAATTAAAAATGAAAAACTGTGACAGGATCGAAATCCTGGTGAAAAATGTTGGGAAGGTGAGTTTCAAGAAATTGGTAAACAATGTAATTGTAAAAGTACACATTTTTATAAAATTTGTTAGTAAAATATTATGACTAAATAAAGTATAAAATACGATAAAGGTAAAAAAAGTTGCACAATTTGTGAAACAAAATTGTAGACAAATTTGACCACATTTGTAAAAAAACAGTTATTCACAGAAATTCGTAAAACTATGTAGAAAGTACGTAAATTTATTTTGAAAATATTCTGTGACCAAAATAACAGAATAAAATACCAATATTCTGTTACCAAAAAACGCTAGTCAAATTTGATGAACTGATAACTTATACTAAACTAGAAGCCCGTCTTAAAGACGGGAACAATTTTAGGTTCCACAATTTTAGGAAACTATCATTAATTTATTACTTTATATCAATTTTTTTAGCCCTCCTAAGAGATTTTTTAACATTGCTAGGGAATTTTTTAAGTGTTGCTAGGGAATTTTTTTAACGTTGCTAGGGAATTTTTTAACGTTGCTAGGGATTTTTTTGACGTTGCTAAGGATTTTTTTAACGTTGCTAGAGAATTTTTTTAAGGTTTCTAGGGAATTTTTTTAACGTTGCTAGGGAATCTTTTTAAGGTTTCTAGGGATTTTTTTTAACGTTGCCAAGGATTTTTTTAACGTTGCTAGAGATTCTTTTTAAGGTTTCTAGGGAATTTTTTTAACGTTGCTAGGGAATCTTTTTAAGGTTTCGGGGGAATTTTTTTAACGTTGCTAAGGAATTTTTTTAACGTTGCTAGGGAATTTTTTTAACATTGCTAGGGAATTTTTTTGATCTTTGCTAAGGAATTTTTTAATCTCTGTCTTCGATCTTTTTTGGATAGTAATAATTTTTTAATAATCATAATGAAACTGAAAATGATACTGAAAATGATACTGAAAATGATACTGAAAATGATACTGAAAATGATACTGAAAATGATACTGAAAATGATGATACTGAAAATGATACTGAAAATGATACTGAAAATGATGATACTGAAAATGATACTGAAAATGATACTGAAAATGATACTGAAAATGATGATACTGAAAATGATACTGAAAATGATACTGAAAATGATACTGAAAGTGATACTGAAAATGATACCGAAAATGATACTGAAAATGATACTGAAAATGATACTGAAAATGCTACTGAAAATGCTACTGAAAATGATACTGAAAGTGATACTGAAAATGATACCGAAAATGATACTGAAAATGATACTGAAAATGATACTGAAAATGATACTGAAAATGCTACTGAAAATGCTACTGAAAATGATACTGAAAGTGATACTGAAAATGATACCGAAAATGATACTGAAAATGATACTGAAAATGATACTGAAAATGATACTGAAAATGATACTGAAAATGATACTGAAAATGATACTGAAAATGATACTGAAAATGATACTGAAAATGATACTGAAATGATACTGAAAATGATACTGAAAATGATACTGAAAATGATACTGAAAATGATACTGAAAATGATACTGAAAATGATACTGAAAAATGATACTGAAAATGATACTGAAAATGATACTGAAAATGATACTGAAAATGCTACTGAAAATGATGATACTGAAAATGATACTGAAAATGATACTGAAAATGCTACTGAAAATGATACTGAAAATGATACTGAAAGTGATACTGAAAATGATACTGAAAATGATACTGAAAATGATACTGAAAATGCTACTGAAAATGATACTGAAAATGATACTGAAAATGATACTGAAAATGATGATACTGAAAATGATACTGAAAATGATACTGAAAATGATACTGAAAATGATGATACTGAAAATGATACTGAAAATGATACTGAAAATGATGATACTGAAAATGATACTGAAAATGATACTGAAAATGATACTGAAAATGATGATACTGAAAATGATACTGAAAATGATACTGAAAGAATGAAATACTGAAAATGATACCGAAAATGATACTGAAAATGATACTGAAAATGATACTGAAAATGCTACTGAAAATGCTACTGAAAATGATACTGAAAGTGATACTGAAAATGATACCGAAAATGATACTGAAAATGATACTGAAAATGATACTGAAAATGATACTGAAAATGCTACTGAAAATGCTACTGAAAATGATACTGAAAGTGATACTGAAAATGATACCGAAAATGATACTGAAAATGATACTGAAAATGATACTGAAAATGATACTGAAAATGATACTGAAAATGATACTGAAAATGATACTGAAAATGCTACTGAAAATGATACTGAAAGTGATACTGAAAATGATACCGAAAATGATACTGAAAATGATACTGAAAATGATACTGAAAATGATACTGAAAATGATACTGAAAATGATACTGAAAATAATTATAGTCAAAATTCGTATCCCTTCCCTGATTGGTTGAGCCAGAACGCCGGCAACCAATCAGAATGCTCGGATGTCACGGAAAATTCTACGGGACGGACTTTTGGAAATTATAATATAGATTTGGTAAAAATACGTGTATTATAAAATCACTACCAAAAATATATACGACCGACTTGTTACAAACTTTAAAGGATCTACATATATCAACAAAAATAATGCGGGAATTTACCAACTTGAAATTTGGCCAAGATTTTTTACCACTTTTTACCAAGAAAATAATTTACCGGCATTTTTTTATCAAATTTATAAAATTTCTACCAAAGTATCTCTTCCTAATCTGTTGCAAAATTTGTAAGTGTGCCGCTGCAATGAATTTCCTCCCGTATCAAAATTAGTGACGGACAGAGACCGCAAAATATTTACCTATCCCGCGGTGGTCTTCTCTCTCTGTCCACAAATCAGTGAATTAACCATGTGCAACTATTTTATTGAGGGAGAGACTTGCCAATTATTGCAAATTCGTGTGGCCGATAATACCAAGATTATGGTGCAGTGCCTATGCTGGGTGCGTTACAGCATCATTTTTATTTTTATCCAAATTGCCTCATATGAGTTTTAAATGACGCGCGGCGGCAAGGCACCACGCATACTTTTTCCCTCTCCCGTAACACTAAACGTAACATTGTAAGTAGGGATGTGCCGTCATGACATGTCATTGACAAATTGACATATTGACATGTCATAAATGTCCAATTTGTCAGACATTTATAGTTTGTGACAAATATGACAAATATGACAAATATGACAAATTCAAAATGTCATAAATGTCCAATTTGTCCGACATTTAAACATGACAAATTAGACATTTGTGACATTTTGAATTGCCAAATGGACATTTGTCAGGGAAATTGACATTTATTTTGCGCAAAATATGAAAATCTCATTTCGCTACTAATATTTTCGACGAAAAATAAAATTTTGACTTCTGAATACGTATCTGTTGCGGTACAAATTTTAATCTTTCATTTGCAATCAAAATTTTGACAAATTCAGTATTTCTGCAAAATGTTTGACGATCTTCTGAAAAAAATCGGGCCATAGGAATAACATTGCGAGGCATTGTGAAATAGATGTGCCACGTTTGTCTCTTAAACTTGTCTCTTAAAACCTGCGAACTCTTGTCCTACCAACTTCATGGTACGATTTAGAAAAATATTACTTGCTTAATTAAATCAATTTATGTACCAAACATTTAGTTTCTAAACAATGAGGTGTTCCAAAACTCAATTACTACTTCTAACAATAAATGAGGAATATTGAGACAAAATTTCATATTTGTCAAATTTGTCCGTCATGTTTGTCATATTTGTCCAATTTGTCCGTCATATTTGTCATACGTGTCGGACATATTGGAATCGTGAAATATTAGACGGACAAATTGACAAATATGACATATATTCGCTTGACACGGACAAGCTCCATCCTTAATTGTAAGAGGAATGTGAAAGTCAATGTCGGAGCTTTAAAGGAATGGGATGGGTAACTTATTTGACAAGTGTGTCTGTGTGTCTGTCCGTAATTTTTAGTATACTTATGTATTTAATATGGTGGAAAAATGGCGGTAAAATAAAATTTATGAAATCCGTTCCGCCCCGCCCTGTCTGTAACGATTTTGTATTTAAATTGATACAAACTCGGTAACAATTTTGTCACCGCGTTAATTTATAATGATTTTTTGAACAGAAAGTTCTGCGATTCTATTTTGGGTGCTTTTTGGTTTTCCGTGATCTGTCGTACTTGAGTATTTACGTGCATGCTAATTTCGTCTCAAGTTTCCCTTTGTTCGTAACTTCGTTCAAAATTTTGAAG